CTCCCTCCCCGGGGGGTATCTGTTATTCTGTATATAAACCCCCCCGAACCCCTCGATCAGATTCCAGTCTGTAACTCCCTACCCGGGGGGGTATCTGTTATTCTGTATATAAACCCCCCCGAACCCCTCGATCAGATTCCAGTCTGTAACTCCCTCCCCGGGGGGGTATCTGTTATTCTGTATATAAACCACCCCGAACCCCCTCGATCAGATTCCAGTCTGTAGCTCCCTCCCGAGCATCTGTTATTCTGTATATAAACCCACCCCGAACCCCTCGATCAGATTCCAGTCTGTAACTCCCTGCCGGGTGTGTGTTATTCCCGAATTATTGCATGGATTCCTGTGAGGGTTCAGGCAGTGTTGAGGACAGCATTGACATGAAGGCTACAACAACAACCTTCCTTTAGCAAGCGCTTGCAACGCACTTTGTTTATTTGCTGTACATTTGTTGGGAGCTGGTGAGCCCAGGAGGAGTTGGCGCCGTCCTTGACCTCCCGCCAACGCACCCTCACCCCGGAACGCCACCCCAATGTCCCGGTCACGGCTCTTCCCTGGGGGGCAGTATGTCTTCGTCTTTGGGAGTCAACCTGTTCCTGAGGACGATGCCGAACCTGTCCCTCAGGACCCGGGGTATGTCCTCGTCGGCCAGCTCTGTGGTGGACTTGCGGTCTCCTTGGGCGGTGAACTGGGTCTCGATCAGGCGCCGCCCCACGTAGCTGACCAGCCCGCCGGGCAGTTGGAGCGAGCAGAAGGACTTGCAGGCGAAGATGGAGCTGGGCGACGTCTGGTGGTAGCGGCACATGCCCTCGAAGTCGCGCCAGGCCCGCGGCCGGGTGCCGAAGGTGTAGAGGGTGGCGCCGGGCTCGTCTGTGGGGCCCGGGCTGGAGGATGGGTAGCGCCTCAGCCGCCATTCTGCCCCCTCCCCCGCTGCCCACTGCAGGTGGAAGAGGCCGTTCTCCTGGCGCTCCAGGAGGCCGTCCTCCAGGGGCAAGGGGCAGCGGAAGGAATTCCCGAATCCCACGTCGCAGAGCCATGGATGCCCACCCTCACCCCCCACCGTCACCAGCAGGAGGAGGTGGTCGTCTGGGGGTCCCAGGCGCCCGGTTTGGAAGTTACGAACACGGCCAGACAGCAGGTGGATCCCGTAGCCGAGGGCTCCCAGGAGCCAGGAGAACAGGCCATTCAGCTCATAGCAGAAGCCCCCCCTCCTGTGGACCACCACCTTGCGGTAGACGTCGGGCAGGGACAGTTGGATGGGCTCACCGCAATGGATGGCCAGACTTCCAAATGGCACTGCCAACACATGGCACCTGTGGATGGCCTTCAGGTTCTCCAGCGACGGCTCCGTTCCCCCCTCGTAGCCAATGCGCGACAGATATTCTCCGGGCTCCATCCTGCTGGGGAAAACCGGGGTGGTGGGTGGGGAATGGGTTAGCCTGGTGCTTCGGGTGGTCCAAACCCCCTCCTCTTTCCCCATCCCCCGCTGCCAACCCCTCACCCGTCCAACCCGCAAGAGGGACCCAATTCCCCTCCACCCTCCCGACTGACACGCTGAAATCCGCTCCCCGCCCCACCCCAAAGACACCCACCAATTCCGCACTCGCTCCCTCTACCCATCAGGCACAGCCGCAGCAGTGTGTACCATCGATGTGAAGCATAAGACCCTGAGACACAGGAGCAGAAATTAGGCCGTTCGGCCCACCGAGTCTGCTCCGCCATTCAATCATGGCCAATAAGCTCCTCAACCCCTTTCTCCTGCTTTCTGCCCATAACCCTTGATAATCAAGAACCTATCTATCTCAGTCTTAAATCTACTCTGTGACCTGGCCTCCTCAGCCTTCTGTGGCAGTGAATTCCACAGATTCA